TATGAGACTGATCTCAATCTTCTCAGCTCACTCTCTGAAACAAAGATATCCCAAATACTATTCCCTATTCCTCTAAATGTCTTTTGGCTAATGCAAGAATATTTGGTTTAACCTTCAGTAAGTTTAAATGCATCAGCATTTTGTTACTTTCAGTTTAAAATAGGCTGAATACTACCTCGTGACTAGTAGGTAAAAGGAGGTGCCCTTTGATACCGCTATCTTGATACCACTTTTATGGGCTTTTAAATATACAGAATAAGGGACCCATTGTTACAAACTGTAGTATATTGGGAGAGTAACCTCTGAATATGTATGACATGTTTCTCATAGTGTTACAGTTCCATATGGGATCTGGGTTTCTTTTGGCAAAATACCGAGGTACATTAAGCTCTTATTATTATTAGCCAAAGGTGTTTGGGAAAGCTGTAAAATAAGAATGCTTTCAAAAATAGATATGTCAATAGGTTAAGAAAAATTTAAATCAAATCAGTATTGGGTGTGACCACCCTTGCCTTCAAATCAGCATCAATATCACTTGCACAAAGGTTTTGGAGGAACTCTGCAGTAGGTCGGCCCAGACATCTTGGAGAACTCCCCACAGTCCTTCTGTGGATTTCGGCAGCCTCAGTTGCGTCTCACTCTTCTTGTAATCCTGCCAAATATTAATTTGATTTAGAATTTTCTCAGTTTCCATTTTGAAAGCATTCTCACATAATAGCATTTTTTCCGCACCTGCCTTAAACTTTTACTACGTTTTGTACTGTATTTGGTCATTTCAAATCTTCTGGGGTTTTCAGATTGTAGCTGCAGGTTTTGAACGGTGATTATACCTTCTCAGCAAACTTCTTTAATGAAACGAATTTGGATTCAATCAAAATGCTGCTGAAACCAAACCAAACCAAAACAGTTGTTTATGTTGTAAAGTAAATATGTGGCAAAACTCTTTCTGAGACAAAAGCATTCAAGTCAACTGCAATTTCCACTGTGGCCACTACACCAAACTTTTCACGACTTGTTCAATATATGTGTTTATTGAATCTGTTCAATCCACACTGACTCATGTACAAGCCTTTAGCAAATGTCCAGTGCCCGGTAGTGGTCATTAGCTCCAGTGTCCGGCCATATCAGCACACACGATCTTCCCTTGAGTCACCACACCTGACCTTCAGGGAGTGGAAGGCAGCCGCCCAGCACGCACAAACAGGCAGAACTGAAGAGAACGAAAATGTTCTACTGTCATTAAATAAAAAAGTATTTTCTCCTCTGCAAAACATGACCAGGCAAGTTACTGACTGCTGCATATTTGTTTTGGCTGTGACAAGTCTTTGCCTATAACATGATTGCGAAAAGCCTGGTCTTTCCTTGAACTGTAGGAGCCATGAGTTAGTCTGCATGTATAAACAAGACAAAGAACTTGTTTAAAGAGACACCTGGGATTCTCACAGGGGACCCAAATGTGCTCAAAAGGCTCCTAGAGAGCTTTTCATGGTTTCTTAAAAAAATATGGGAGTCAAAGGGTGTAAGTGGGTTTTAAGATGGCACTAGCAAAATAAAAAAAGAGCTTTGTAAATGCCCTGCATAGAAATGATCACAGTTGGACTAGAATGTAATCAAGACCTTAAACACATTAAGTAAAACCCAATAAACGAGTATAATCTTTCAGTTCAAGTGGGTCCAGTGCCAAATGAGTCTTTCTGAGGGTCTCTTATGTAAATCTATCCAGCCATTCATGTCCATTATATAATAACTAGCTACAGGCACTACAGCAATGGCTCCACATCCATTAAAACCTCAGTGCCTGTCAATCACTAATTAAAAAAGACATGTTGTAGCGCTCTCTCAGTCTGCTTTGCACTGCAGTGTGGCCTGCTTCTTATTCCCCAGGGGAATTTGGAAAGTGGCCACCCCACCCCCACTACCTCCACCCCATCCTGTCAAAATTGCTGGTTCAAAGACTTCCTGACATCTGGCCACAATAGTCATTGCTGGAGGGTGAGTGGGAAGATGGATGGGCTGACTGATCTACAGGACATGATTACATTTTGTTTTCTCATTATGTAATGTTGCATAAAAGCAGGCACGAAGCCTTTAAAAGCAGACATGTTGTCTGACGAAGCACCATAATGTATAAAAAAATACTCTATATAGAAAATATAAATACATAAATTCATATTAAGTGATATGGTATGGAAGTCCCATGCTTTCCACAGGCTACATAAATAAATCTGACTAGAATTGGCTTAAAATTAACTATACATATTTTAAAAATAGATATACTAGTTTAATTAAACTTCTTGAAGGGAAAAAAGAGGGAAATTAAGGAAGCTTCCAACTGATGCTAATACTCTACATCATGTTGCTTCCATTTAGTGTGCATCTCTTGGTTTTGACTGTTATGATGTTATTTATTTTGTCCCTTTTTAGCCCCAAGACGCCCTAGCTAGTTAATCCAGCCCTGGTTATATAGACGGTTTGACAGAGAGCTGACTAGCTACAGAGATGACTAGTTAGCTTGCTAGCTTGCTAGATGATAGGGTGGAAACAGAGCTCAACAGTGATATCCCAGTCATATTCTGAATTGGTTTTGATTATTTGCCATAATGTCGTTACCATCCAAGGTAGACTTACCCCGAGCTATGAGATTGTGAAACGATGGTATATGCTCCTGTAGAACCCGCAAGTCCGTATATCAATCGTTTTATTTGTGAAGTCATGGAGAAGTAATATAGGCTACTACCCACAATCCTAAAATGTAACAGCGTCACAGAGGAGCCATGATGCACCTTTCTAGCCTGCTGCGTCTGAGCACAAGAGTAGCCAAAGGGCTGAAAATCACCACAGGCCATGTGCTGGAGTGTAATGTTAGTGAGGGCCAGATGTGGGTTCTGTCGGGGCCAGCATGAGAGACAAGACATACAGCGTTGTGGTGAAATTTACAGGCAGGCTAGTTAGGTAGCTAACATTAGCTGACAAGAGTCTAACTCGCACTAATCGTTCTTATTATTGTAGTGAATATAAAAAAATACACTTATATAACAGCAAATTACACGTTGTCAGGTCAGAAGGGGGGAAAGGCATCATTAGCAGTGGTCCATGGGATGAGTAGGTGTAGTTCCTTCAGTCTAAATATAATTATGAACAGGCTTTTACCTCCCATTTTCCATTTCGGCTAAATAAAACATTTTATAGTCATGAATTACGTCGTAGTTGGTTGGCTTAGTTCCAGGCTTAAAACTCTTTACATAAGTATTTTCTGAAACATCAGTGGAGTGAATGAATGGGAAGTTTACTCCCAGAACCAGAGCCCTTCAAAAAGTGGGCGGTCACTGTTGATCTCTATTGCAGGTCAAAATGACATGTGCACAATGTACAAATGAGAAATCTTTGGAGATTAGACCCCATTGTGACGTCCTCGTTTTTGTCCTGCGTGGTTTAGGACAGAATAGCGGGGACTGGATGGATGTGGTGTGCTCAGACCTGGGTGCTGGAAGTGATAAACTGGAGGTCAATGGAGTGTCTTGAAAACAAACTGTACACATTGATAATACAGGGTTATGACAACACTGCAGAGATGCACACTAAGATATGGAAGGTTGTAATAATAATAATAATAATACTAAATTATAACATAAGAAATACCTGTAAATATGTAGACCTATGACCTGTAAACATATTGCTGTAGCAGTGCTGGAACTTCACTGTCTCTTTACAATGAAAAAAGAGAGAGAGGGTAAGGACTTGTTAAAGGTTGAGGTATTCAAGGCACATAGGGGGTGCTTTAGCCGGATTACTCAACAGGGACGGGGTGCCCATATTAAGCAGATAACGGGTACACAGTTATCTTGGCTCGGTTTTACTCCTCTCGCTCTTCAATGTTAAGCTGTTTTTTCCTCAATATACCCTCAAAACAGCAAAATACAAGGAAAGAAAAACGCTGCATAATCTAAGCTTTGAAGAAGTTGCGCACTCCGTTCAGCTGCCGCAAGGCTAGGCCGGAAATGATGTGAAAATTCTATCAAATTAAAAGCTTTTTTCTTTCTTCCTTTCCAAATTCTAATTTTGCAAATCTAAGCACAGCATTTTCAAAGAACGTTTACAATGTCAGTGTAACTATTCAGAATGCAAAAAAAGAGCAGATAATAAATGTCTTGACATTACTATAGTCTATGCACAGTACAACATACTATACTACCACAACATAGGCTACTAGCACACACTATAATGGTAGAAAATTTCAAATAAATCTTTATACCATAATATCAAAAAAGATTTTTGCCTTCTAGCCTATGTCAATGAATTTTGTATTGGTCTGTCAAATTGTATGTAAATTTATTTTATTCCATTATTTCAGCACTCATAAAAAAGAAAAAATGCTTGGCCTTATTATTCAGAATGCACATTCAATTGTATTCATTCTGAGGAGATGTCATCCAGGAGAGCTCAACTTAGACATTTCTGTTCTCTTTAAGTTCTCTTTAAGATCTGTTCTCTCAGATCATATGTCTTTACAACATGAAGGGGCTTTCTGAACCTGTCCTGCACTTAACCTACTTTTAGGTCCCAAAATAACGTCAAGTTATATTAATGAATTTAATTTTATTACTTCATAGTTTTATTGTATTACTATATAAGAAGCTAATAACACAAAAATGATTAAACCAAGATGCTCTGTGGTATATTAAAAATGTATGAGAAAATGTATATTGCTGTAGAAATCTCCCCCAAAATGCATAAGTGACTTTGTGTGGGGTCCCAAATGCAATACTGAAAAAGTACTTTTACCAAAAAAAAAGGTCCCCTCCAAATCTGACTCCACTTTTTTTTTTTTAATCTTTTTTGTACCATTACTTTCACGACGTGACAATCACGTCCATTTAGCGAAGAGGAAACTGGAATCTAGCAACATGACCTCTAAATAGTGTTACGTCACAGCCTCTGCGTTTTGTTTTGAAAGTCACAACCGGAAGCCCGGTACCACCGCGTGTGTAACTTGACGCTGGTACCTGTCAACCGGTCTGCTCTCCTCAGTGTTTTTGCCGGCTCGAGCCTCACAGGGCTGAAGACTCGCGGCTGTGTACCAGCTTTCACCGGCGAATATGTTGAAGTTCCCGGATATTAAATTGCATTTTTATACGTGACCCAGCGGACTGGAGACCGGCACACACGGGGGATTTATTCTTCTCTGCAGCGCCCTACATTGTAACGGAATGGAAGCTGGAAGAATTGAACGCTGGACATGGACACAGACTGATGGACCAAGAACAACAGCCTGATATAATTAGTGCTCAACGCCAGCATGACCTACATTCCACAGAGCTTAATGGACGGACTTCAGGACATCTCTGCAATATGGACACGAGACAGTAACTAACGTCCTGTTCAACCTTGTAACACAGTAATAAGTGACCTTCATTTTTATTTGCTGCTGCAGAACTGTGCATAACCGGACACCTGAATGTGCATACGACTGAACCAAGAGATTCATCCAAGCAGACTATGTCCTATGCAAAAAAAAGGGGGAACAAGATAAACAGCATGAAAAGCACTGCATGCTGGACATTTTGCTGACCTTTTGTAATGCACCATGGTCGAAAGGAGGAAAAATTAATCAAGCAGGTGGCCTGAGGCAACTCTCCCTGCTGTTTTCTTGCTGTATACTGCTGGACTATACACTAGCTCTGCTCTTTGGATTAGCGAGCAGCTCACAAGGCCCGCAGTTCAAAGTGCCAGAGAAGAGCAGGGCTGAAAGGTCTTTTCAAGCCTGCAGATGCCTTATCTGCTCATAAGTGAGAGATTGTTGCATGTTATGTGATCACCAATAATGCTGTGGTCAGCATCCAAATAGACTTTTTCAGGCTGTCAGCAACATAAACTGTCGCCACTATGCTTCTGAACGGCGGTCAGCAGCTACCTCTTCTGAGGCATACGGATGTGCCGCCTCGGGTCATAGAAAACTTCATCCTGACTGGCTACCGCTTCCCAAACTACAGCCTGAGGGATTGCTTACTGTCAGCGTTCAGGCCCACCAATGAAACAGGCAACTTCTGGACACACTTCCTCCCAGTTTTCATTTTTTCATACTACTTTGGGGAAGTGTTTGGTTGGGAAAGTGCGCCACATGGTGACGCCCCGTTCTTCTATCCATTGTGGAACTACTTTATCGGGGTGTTCTGTCTCCTAATGGCCAGCAGCATGGCCCACCTGCTCAACTCAATGTCTTTGGTAGTAAGAGAAGTCTGCTTCTTTGTGGACTACGGGACCATCAGCTCCTACACTGTAGGCTCATCGTTGGCGTACTACTACTACATCCACCCTCGGGCAGGGATCGTTGAGACAGGAGGCCACAACGCCTCCCAGGGGGACTTGAAACATGAACTTGCAGGGGCTCCTACATCATCCTATGCAATCCCGGAGTTCAGTGTGTTCTTTGAGATATTCTATATTCCGTGTGCATGTGTTGTAGCAATCATTTGCGTTCTCTCTTGCTGCAATACTCGCCAGAGGTGGAGGCGGCATCGATACATCATCCGAACCTTAGTTTTCCTCCTTCCGTTCCTCATCTCTTCCACGCCGGTCTTCTACCGCCTCCTCACCAGATCGCCTTATTCCACCACCTCCTCCTCCTTCGTTGCTTCCACCTCCACCTCCAGCTTCTTCTATCGCCACTGTCTGTGGCTGCTGGTGTCAGCTGTCTTCAATATCAGCAAGTTCCCTGAGCGGCTAGCCCCGGGTCGCTTTGACATCTGGGGGCACAGCCACCAGTGGTTCCACTGTTGCACGTTTTTGTCCATCCTAGACGAACTCCAAATGATCAAGGCTGAAGTGAGGGCAATCCTACTCAGCCCAACTGTGCTGTTGCCCCCTGCCACCCTCTCCCACCTACCTGGACCTACCATAGCTTCCACCTATGGGGTGATGCTCCTCCTCCAGACCACCATCATCTCCATCATCGTGTGGTTTTCCTGGCGCGCCAACTGCATCTACGGACCCCAGGGCGACCAGCTAGCAGAGGAACACCCCAAGAATCACCTCAAATGTCACTGATCACAAAGACAAACCATTTTTTTTTTAAATCATCCTGACTGTGAAGAAAGATTTGCACATGCATACAGAGCCATGCCACAAAGAAGAAGCGCACAAGTAAAACAATATTACCCTTCCGATTTCAGGTTCCTCATATGTTCCTACCCCTTAGAGAGCTTTTTGCAAGCTTTCATATGGGGAAATTGGGCACAATGTGAGACGAAAGGATTATATTCTGAGCTCACCACAGGGTGGCTGTCTGGTTGAGTGAACATTGAAAGACCTTGCCAGTTCTTTTCCCTAAGCAGCTCCAGCATGTTCCAACAGGATGTCTGAGCAGTGGTGATAATAACTACCTCTAGGGACTGTACACTTGAGGGCAGAGGAAAGGTGTTGGAACCCAGAAGAACACATGTTCCACGTAACATTTGGGTAATGTGGCTTAAATGTCAGCGTCATCCTTTACAGAAGTCGCTGGTGCGTTGTCTGTTGTCAAGTAGTACCCGCTGTTGCACTTCCTCTTGCTCTGACCTCAAAGTGGATCTTTCTCTGCTCTGGTTGCAGTTGGACCCATTGTTTCACATAGCATGAATCCCTTGTTCTGACCTTTACTAACCATACCTTCGCTTCCTCTGACTTACATAAATGCTCACAGGCAGTCTCATTTCCTCTCTTTTTCCAAGTGACCCTCAGCAGGAAGTGTGCCTGAAATAGCTGAGAGCTTGTATCAGTCGTACAGTTAAGCACTTTCAGGGGGTCGGACGAACAGGCCCTGTCATTAAGAAGCCATGCTCTGTTTTTAACCTTAAAGGGCGCGTAACATTTCTGAAGCATAGAATGATGTCCTGCTGGCATCTTCAGTTGGGTTATTTAAATGTGAAACATATTCAGAGGGAAGTGAATATATCTGCTGTATGTGTGGTTTTCATTACACTGATGAATAATTCCCCATAGATTATGTTCACGCTGTTTAAAGTGCTCTAGTTCAGATTAAATGTGATGTAAATCTGGTGTTTTCTAATCAGTGTGAGAAGCTTACTGGGGTTTTCTGGAGTACACAGAAGTGGTATGCATGTTATTAAAATCTCTCATTCAAAAAAAGACTTCAGTTTAAAGGCTTGCATTGTGAACATAGATTAAATGACGATGATGAAACCAGAGGCTACTTTCCACAGAGGCTTTTCATGCCATGTGATGTACAGCAACCCCTTAGAGCAAAAGCCATAGTTTGGAAAAGTGACATAATGGCAATATTGTAGTTGTATTACATTGTCAGTAACTTCCTGGATAGATTTGCACTTGACAGATAGATTAGGTTTATAGTTTGTTCCTCATGTATTATAACTATATTCAAGCTGAAGAGCTAAGTGTCCTTCAGAAAAATATATACCCGGCAATCTCTGAGTCATTTAACAGCCCTTACCGCTTCTTTGAAGCTAGTAAATATATAACCTTTCAGGACTGTGGGGGCCACGTCTTCCATCCATCTGGAACAATAACTATTTTTTCCACAGCACCATAAAAAAAATCTTAAACCCAGTTTTCCATATTTGCACCATTATTTAATAAGAAATGTCATTGCTGATTTGTACAACAAAACCAAATACATTTATCTGGCATACATATTGTTATTATATATATATATATATTTATATTTATATATTAAATTATATTATATTGTAGCCTAAATCAATGTTACTTTTTATTATTTTGTAGAGATGCAACTTGGGAAGAGGATTAAAAATGTTTTTAATCGGGCAGTGGGTGGACAGAGAAGTGATTGAGAAGTCTTGAAATATTTTCAGAATAACATTAAATGAAGTTTAAGAATCTTCCGGGTCTTCAAAGATCATTGCGTAGTTATCATTTCAGAAACAGGGATGCTTAAGTCTGTGACTTGAATATAATGGTTATACATGAGAGGCACGAACTGGGACAATAATTTACTATGTAGATTAAATGCAAACATTACCATTTCTTTATTCAACTTTTAACTGTATGCAGCAATAACCTTATTGCTAGGCAGAAATGTTAATTATCACCCTTTGTCAACCTATATATGTAGATGCCTGCTTTCTTGTTTTTTTCTAGAATTCTGCTACCCAGCCCAAACCCGACCGGCCCGTTTGGTTTGGGATTTATATTTTAATTTATTAAGAAATCCTGTGTTTGTCTCTATGACTGTCTATCATCCGTGTTTGTCATGTGTTAGTAGTTTTGCAATGTCCAGAGAGAAGGGGGAAAGACAGACAGTGTAGCTAATGTGTCGCATTAGCCTGGTAAGCTAATGTTCAATAACAGATAAAAAAAATTAAACAAAAATATAGCCTGTTAGTCCTGCACAGTTTCTAATATCCCAACCAAAATGAGTATATATATATATGGTCTGACGCATGCGTACGTGACTGATTGGCATGTGCATTCAAAGATTTTGGCAAGAAAGATGTTGTGCTGGCTTTTGGCATTTTCTTTTCTGCTGGGTCAGATTCTATTCAGTCCGTTTTCTGCCTCCCACAAAAAAATCAATGTGCTGGAAACCAAGGGTGTTCACTGTGTTCAAGAACTCACCTCCTGAAATGTCCATGAACAAGACACTTTCAAGAAAATTTCCTTTGCTCTGAGATCACTTGCACACTGAAAGTGGACCATGATCGTCAGTGCTCAGATGACGATTACGTGTGTTTTCTCTGTTTTCATGTTGTTCTGTCTTGTCTTTGTAGATTTTGTCCTGTCAAGCAACCTCAGAGGGAGTTACAAATGAAATGATATGCTCTTACTCATGTGTCACATTTACATGTTGATAATCATATTGGTCTGATTTTAGAAATTATATGATTAACACTGTATAAGTTCTACTCATACCTGCACATTTACTTGTGTTTAGATGCGTTAATTTGCACAAGAGAAAATGATTAGTGATGTAAGCTGAGTTGTTAATTATGTATGACGATGGAGTATATATAGTAAGGACCATATTGAAAGGTTGTGATAATCATGCTGTTATGGGGCACTTTAAAGCTCCTCAAAATGTTCCTTTAAGGATCAACTCTGCAGTACTGTATTCTTTCTTCAGGTTTAGGTAGTGCGTTCTAATGAATAGTCCAATTCATCAGATAACGGTGCATCCAATGTTGAAGCGATGTTTCTACCTCAACAGAGCATTTCTGTCACTCTGTCACTGAGACGAACCATCGCTGAAACAAATCTTGTCCCCCTCTCCACCCTTCTAGACGGTGGGATGTCAGACTTGAATCGATCAATGTTGAAGCAGAGTGCAGTATGTGAATGTTAGACTTACAGCCAGTACTGTATCAAGTGAAGTACTCAGGGGTGACCGGAAAACAACACTAATACATTATTTACACATGCATTTAAATGATTAATTACTAGAGGTGGAGAATAACTGTAGAATCTGTCTGTTAAAATGCTGAAAAAGTGAAAACGATCCTCCATTATGTTAATTGATGTATCTAATAATGTATCTAACTAATATGGATGATTTGAGTTTTACTGAATAAATTATGCAGATAACTAATATCCTCGTGGCAGTTCATTTATGTAATCATATGTAATCGTGTGGCAAGATTGTTAGCCAAAATCACGCACAATTTGATCTATTACTGTTATTTACTAATACTAGCAGCGTTGATATATCTCAGCAACTGGATTGCCATGAAGTGTGGTACAAACATTTGGGATCCCCAGAGGATGAATCTTGAATGATATTACTTTGACTCCTCTTCTAGCGTCGACAGTAAGCGACTGTCCTTGCTTGTCCTTGTAATGTTGGTGCTGATGTATTCACCACCTGCCACATTGATCAGTCAACTTTAACTGCACTTGTTGAGCGACTGTCGCTGCATCCCGGGCTTAGCGCCAACCATGACGAATGTGATTGATTTAAAGAAAATACAAACAAGCCAGAGCGTATTTACCCCTGCACCAGAATAGTAATGGTTTCAGCCAGCCCTTTCTTCAGCGCTGGCACATCACTACAAGTGTGGTTATAGGTCTGGTCATGCGAGGCTACTCCCTGGTTTACAGATGAAACATGCTCATAAGCAGGCCTGCAGAAGATTTGAATGTAAATGGCAAAAATCAAAACTGGAAACGTTCTACCTCGCATGACATGAATGTGTTAAATTACAAGCATGCTCTGCTCCAAAAGCAGTCTAGTTCTCTCGCTTAATCAGTAACAATAAGCAAAGTCCAAGGTTTCTCTTTGACACTGGGACCAAACTTACTCAAAAGCAGCTGTCTGTTAGCCGCTCACCCTTTACAGCTCATTCTTTTTTTGTTTTTTCCTTCAGAAAAATAAATGAAATTAGAATCAAAATAAACTCCTTCTCCAGTTACTAATGTACAATGGGCAGTGCAACATTCATATGTTGAATCCTAGTTTCTGTTCTTACACATTTTGAGAATATCTCTCTTGAAACATTGTCTAGGCTGGTTTTAGCTTTTAAACAAGCCACCTGCCTCCTCAACCCCCTGTGAGTAATTATCAACCCTAATCATCTCTAACCTTCCTTTCTTATTAAATAGTGCTAGAAAGACTTGTTGTAGCAACTTTCTGCCCACATACTTAAAGAGGTGAAATTATGCTTATTTTTAGGTTTATAATTTAATTTTAGGGGTTGTACTAAAATAGGTTGCAACACAGGCAGAACAACCTGAACCAGCTTTGCAACCTAGACTGGAGCAAGAGTTTTAGAGTGGTAATTTATTAATTTGTTACAAATGAATCTTTTCATACGGAAAGTTTTAACTTTGTATTGATAGCTAATATTTGGTAGGGAGGGTAGGGGGTGAGGGGAGACAGCGGGCGGACGTGTTGTCACTGTGTGTGCTGCAGCTCAGTGTGTTTCTCCTCCAGTGTTTTTGAGGGCGAGCCACACTAGCCCGCTAGGCGAGCATTATGACGTGTTACATAGTGACACAGATTGGTTACAGAAGTTAAGGCTGGACTAAAAAGTTTTCAGGCAGTTCAGGAGGAGAGTTTTGGTAACTCCCTTTGGGGAGGACATTCTTTTTCACAAAAATAATAATACGACCTCTTTATCAGTAACCAGGCCTGTCAGTCTACTGAAACTGCATTTATTAAAGTGGTAAATGAGTTTCTGCTCACCATGGATTCAGATTCCACCTCAGTGCTTCTCTTACTGGATCTCTTGTGCAGCTTTGGATACCGTAGATTCAGTATACCCCACGCTGACTGGAAAATCAATTTGGCGTCTCTGGCCTGGCTCTCGATTGAACTCAGTGTGTGTGCTCTATGATAATACTACATCTCTTTATATTTCACCTCTTGGCCTAATTATACAGTCATGGCTTTAATTTCCACTGATACGCTGATGATACTCTCCTGTATGTGTCAGCAAAGGCAGATGATCATTCCCAAATTATTAAAGTAGAGATTTCTGAAAACCACTGCATCTCTCTAACTGTGTTTGTTTCAGTCCCACAAGCACAGCTGTGTGCCTCTCTCTCTCTCTCTCTCTCTCTCATGCAGACACCTCCGGTCGTTCTTATGCTTGTGGAGAAAGTCATGTGCTGGAACTTTTTCAGGCGCAGTGACAGCGTGCCGCTTCCTGACATGTTGTCATCACAGCGAGACCAAAACCAAAACCTGTGCTCACACAATCTATCTGGCCCTATAGCTGGAGATCTGTTGTTTGTCAAGGAATAGTTGATGATATTGATCTTGACTGATCGGCTGTGTAGTGGGAAGCAGTCTCTCAGAGCTGAGTGAAGTCTAGGTTTTGAATAATTCAAATGAATTCTGTTTGTGTGCTGATTTGCATGTCCAGCACTGCCTGAGCGTTTAGAGAGTATGTGTTCCTACTTGGTATTTGCACATGTTGTAGGTGTGCTGGACCTCGGCTGGGGCAAACGCGTGGGCAACACATGCAGCTGGCTTTCCATGTCAAACTCCGCTCCCCCCTCACGCCTCTGTCTCTTTTTACTGTGACATGCCGAGACCACAAACAAATGGCTGGTGAAACATGAACCACAGAGAAAGAACCACTCAGCTACGCTGAATCAAGAGTCCTGGACAGAATCAGTCAGGTGTCAGGAATCCATCTCTGGTTTCATCCTCACCCCACATAGTCGGATCACTTTTGCTTTTTATTGTGCAGGTGGTCGTATGATGACAAAGTTCCAAACATTTTTAATACAAAAACTGACTTAGACTAGCTCAGTTTGAAATCTGCTCTCATTGTTTTTTTCCAGTTGTTTAATCAAATTATGAGATTTTGAGCAGAGCAATATGTCAGGCTGATTTTTTTTCAAAACTGTAAAATGATCCTCTGGATTTCTTCTGGGAATCTGGGCGTTTTAGCAACCTGGGGTAATAACTATTTAAAAAAATAAAATGTACATGCATTGTTATGTTAAAGGCTGCTTCCAATATTTATATACTCAATACATTTTTATAAGACTATATATTTTAATACCTCACCAATTGTATTATTTGAAACAGCATTAAGACTCAAGCAGGTACTTTAAAGGTCTGACATTGTCACCCTACACCCTCCATCTACATATTAATGGATTTTGTAAGTCCAGAGTTTTGTAAGGTGGGTGTAAACAGGAAATATTATGTTGCCATGGAGTCAGTTTGTTAGCTGTGGGCTACAACTTAAGCCTCAGTTTGGGTTCCTGTTTGCAGTGCAGAATAAGTGGTAGGGAGAAAAAAATACAAAAGGCAAACCCTGGCTATCCACAGAAACACACAAGAAAGGGAGTGAGAAGGGATGTAGGAGGAAGTACAACTAGAACCAAGACAGCAGCACAAAAAGAATATGAGGGAGCAAACAAGGTAGCTAAGGAAAGTGTCAGAAGGGACAAAAAGTACATTGAGGATTTAGCACAGCAGGTTGAGGAAGCAGCAGGGAAAAATTATCTAACAACAATGAAGCTCAGCGGCAAATTCAAACAAGCGCAAGGACACAAAAGGTGCACTTAAGAGAGCTGCTCAACAGACAACCCCCTCAACTGAGATTCCACCTGCTCAAAACCCCAAGATGGAACTTAGGAGAGCCATTAAAGGCATGGAGAGTAGGGACAGGCAGCTGAAGCCCTCAAGGCAGACACAGTCACCTCAGGCAGCATGCTTCACCACCTCACGCAGGCTATCTGGGAGGAAAATAAAGTCCCATCAGACTGCAGAGATGGCAACATTGTAAAGATTCCCAAGAAATGAGACCTCAAGAGAACCCCTTATGAAACTGCTTATTAGTACTATGTGCTGAATTTCAGCTGATACTGTACTATATATCCTTGTCAAATTGGTATTGTATATAAATGTGTAATACTGTCACAGCACACTCTTTCATTTATAAGAACCTCAGAGGAAACTTAAGGGGACCTGAGGGCTTTCAAATGTCTTTTACTTTACGTTGAAGAGCTAGGCGTTAGCTCCACACTGCGGGAGCTTGCTCGAGCTGTATACTGTATTTAGTGTGACTGAAATACAACAACCCCGGTCATATTATCCGCATTTCAGTACAAATCTGCCAGCACAGTGTTCCTGCTCAGTGCACCCTCTAGCTGGTAAAACCAAAATGTTCACACTCACAGTATGAAAGTACATCAGAAACAACTCGGCAGGCGACCACAGAGCTCTCATTTCCCCTATGTGTTTGAAAAACTGTACTTTAGAGAGAGCGTTTCAACTCGCTTTCTTCTCCAAATATTCTTTGAAAGTAATCCAGGACTGTTAACTTCAAGCGGATTGGTACAAAAAACATTTCAGTTGGTTGCTTTTACAAATAAATATACAGTTAACAAATAAACTAAAATTTAAGAATGCCAAAGCAAATTAATGACAGGAAAACTATTTCCACAAAGATATTTTATTCTATTCTTCTGAGTGTAATGAACATGGGACAGTTAAAGCATAACATGGTTTTGTCAATGATCAGAATTTTAAGACAAAAGACAAACACCTTTTTAACGAAGATCACATAGTTAGTTATCAAGGCAGTCAATAACATGAATTTGACACAGGGACAAAGGCAGACTAACAATTTAAGTTTGGAATCTTCTGAAGAACCAATGGGCAGTCATCAGAGCCCGGAGGCAGAAAAGATGGAGAGAACACATGAATATAAATTAATATTTGGTTGTGAAGAACCTGAAGCCACCACAGGGGTGGATCTACTGAAAGCAACTGCAGTGGGTTGAAATGTGCAATGTAACCATTACTGTCCTATAGCTGCAGGAGTAGCCAGAATATTCTACTCTCGTGGTTTCTGATAAATTCTGTGTTTCATCAGTGTTTTCTAACCTCTTTGTTGGCACATTGCTGCCACCTGTTGATCGGTGGAACAGAGTAACTTCTGTAAACATGATGACACTTTGGAACGTTTCATTTCCTGTCATAGAATCTGCTCCGCTGATCTCCCTCTATTGTTATTCCATTCACAAACAAGTTTTGGGGGGGATCCTTGCTTGAGGCCGACAGGATTACCTTCTTAATACTGTCATACCAAAGCAGATGGTACCATCAAGATGCACATTGTTAAACCC